TGTCATTATTTACCTGCTTGGATATTTCCTAAAATTCTGTTAACACTTTTTACACCTCCACAAATTAATATTGTTGTTAACTCAGGTATTTTTCTGTTTTTTCCTTTAATAATTTTGCTAAAATGGATAAGAAAATAAGACAAATGTTCCAAAGGTAAATTTGTTAAATAATTTCTTGACCTAAGTCAAAGAAACATGTGAGAATCATTGTGAAGACAAATAAAACTAATAATGGCTTTTAAACAGGAAGCTATTTCATAAAATCAGCCATGGAAACAGAAAATGAGATTAATTTGGGACAAAAACCTGTAGGCTATAATCAAATTCTTTATAAGCAGTAATCACTTCTTAAATTCACGTATAAAAAAACTATAATCTGTATATAAATTCATAGGATGTCTTCTGCAGCAACAAGAAAGCCTCCATCAGATGAAATCTTGAAGCCTATAGCAACCAGAGATCAGTCCGATATATCTATAGTGGGAATAATACATCAACATCTGAGTAAAACAGAATACAAATCAGTTGTAAAACCAATATTTCTATCTATTTGCTCTGAATAAACAAACAAAAACATTGGGGGGGAGGGAGTAATGTTAACCTTGTACAAGGCTCGAGCCACTCGAGGTAGAGGGTTACAGCCATAGAAAACAACACTGTCCTTTTTTTTATATATCTGCTATTCACTTATAAATCTGCATAGATGAAAAGATGATCTATTCTTAACAAACAGACCAGAAAGCAGGTAACTCATATTTTCAAGTATCAGTTTCTCACAATTATGAATCATTGGTTCTGGTTGAATAAATAAAAGTAAACAGTTGTCAGCTGTCCTTTATAAATAAGGAAAGTCTGTGTTCTTAGCTAAATTCCTCATTGTGATGAATAAACATTCAAGTGAAACTTGAAGATGAAGCAAGAAAATTGGAGAGAATCAGTAAACATCAGTTCTTTAATCTTGATATAATAACAATAATCAAATGTAGTATAAACAAAAACAGAGATCAAGTAAAGGTCAAGTGTCTCCTCCAACCTATTACCACAGCACTTCTCTATATGGAAATAAATCAATAACAAGAAAAGGTCAGAGTGAACCTAAACTCTTTGGATTTTTCCAGAGATTGGCTGAGGCTCCTTTACCTTGAGATTAAAGAGTAAATACAATAAGCAATTAACGACTGACTGCATCAGCATCAATGCATTATTGATAGAATATCCGAGTGCACCAGATGATTAACGTCTCATTTCCACCCATCATGCATACTTAATGTTAATTATATCTTGATTAATATGACAATGTTCTATTCTGTTTAAAATTGTTTAAGATGGAAACATTTTCACTGTTTTAATGGAAACAGTCATTTATCCTTCATTTCACAAGTGATTTGGTGAAATAATCAAGAAAGAAATGTTATTTTTGTTGGATCATTAATTGATCATCTTCAGATGATACAATTTAAAATTATGGTCTTTTCCACAAATGAAAACATCTTCTTGGTCAAGGTCAAAATCTTCTAAACTCAATAAACACTTCAAAAGAAAAAGAAGTAATAAAACTCAAGAAAATCTGATAAGAAATTTCAGAAAAACAAACATATTTCCTTTAAAATGTGGGATGCTGATGATTTATCATGAACCCAACCAAAGTAAACATCTACGTAATAGCATCGGATGTTATCAAGTTTACAGAGAAAAACATACTTTAAGCACGTCTGTTTAAAATGTGACTTATTTAATTATCTTAAAATGTTTGCATAAATAAAATACACACCTCTCAACTGTTACAGTTAGATGAATCTTGATCTGAAATTTTCACTGTATAATGCTTAATTTATATAATTAGGTGCATTGACAAAACAGGAGATTATGCTGAAAACTAAATATTTTTATCATCTGTCTATATTTCTGAGCAGTTGTGACTATTGACACTATTTACATTGTTCGAACTGTTGTCCTTATCTTTATTGTCATATTCATAGCCCAATGGATAAGTGTTGGTCGAAGTAACCCAGTGACATGAAGCAAAGAGTTGTGAGTTCAATATCAGGCCACAGCAGAGGTGAACAAGAAGTTACTAAAGGGAAACAACTAAAACTGAGATAAGGTATGGCACATGGAACTAGAACAATCTACCTTGGTGGATGAAATAAAGGGCTCAATTGAAATTCCATATCATCTGAAGAAGGCCGGAGTGTACAACACCCAAAACATTGTCAATATGACAACAAAGATGAGGACGACAGTTTGCACAATGTAAATAAATATTTTTGTGCAAAATATTTTTTTTATTATGAGATTGGAGACTTTTGCATAACTGCTCCTGAATTTTTAGATAATTTTATTAGTTTGCAATTAGAGAAAAAACATTTTACATTTTTTTCATAGTGCACACTATCCTCATTCCAAATAACTCATGACTGTTGAAGTTATTAACTGAAAGTAAATACTTACATAACAAGAAATAAATACTGTGTGTGTTACTTTGTATAGTGTACTGATCTTAGACAGAATGTACAAATACTCTGAGTTTAGACAATAGCACTTATCTGTACATAAGTAATCTCATCATTTTTAACAAGTACTATGCTAGTAATGTGTGTTCATCTTATCTGGCTTTTGCACATCTATACGTCAAGAGTGTCTCACTCGACTGAGAAAATCACTGGTGTTATATAACTCTCTCAGTCCCAGACCCACGTTGATTATTGGCTAATACCTGCCCAGTATCATTCATATGCAAATAGTCAGCACCACCTATTCTAAGTAGAAGGTCTTCTCTCAACAGCCTATTGTGAAAGAGGATGCAACTCCTGGTGATTATGGCACCACATACAACCAACTTGGAGTCTTTTATTGGGCTGACCCGATTCTCTATTGCATAATGTACAGTTATTGTAATGGTTATCTGTGCAGAAAGCTCAAATCTATTTCTCCTCTGTTGTATTCCCTTTGCACTAATGCCCTTGGAGAAGGTATGAATACACCTTTGCATATTGCCCTAACTATGGTTTAATTAACCAAATAGACTAGGATTTCTAGCCTTAGGTGTCAGCTAGTCTAGGAAAAGAAGAACTTTGAATTTAAAACTGTATAGAAAGCAATGGAAATTCATTATCTTTTCCCAAGAAGTCATGACAATTCTTAGATAAATTAAGAAAAGAAATCTGTAGGAAAGTCATGAATGTCTGCAGCTTGGAGGGACAAGGTATTTAAAAAAAAATGTATCTATGGTAGTATAACAAATCTTGTAATTGAGACAATTGAATGTAAAATTATAAACATATAATGTCTTCACAGTTTATCAGCTGAGAATTACATAAGACTTGATTTTTGTTTTTTAATGAACCAGGACTGATTTTTATTAATAATTTTCTTTCATTTTAATTTTTAGCTTTTTATCACAACTTAGAGCATCAGGTTTATAATTACAAGCAAACAGTGCGGACTGAAAATAATAATAGATAAGTTCCACAGCAAGACTTAAATCCATGTCTCCTATCACCCTACAGAAACCCAAATCAGCTGCTCCTACCATCTGAGCTACAAGTTTCAAGAGATCAAATTTAACTTTAGCCTTTTAGCATTCAATATGTTCAAAACCCCCCCCCTGTAAATATCAACTCTCAAAGGCTCACCATTTGTACGACTACCTGCATTGTGATGATAGCAGAGTATACATGGGGCGGGTTATGGCAGGTTTAACATTGAGAGCCAATATATATACAGAGGCAGATTGAATGCTAAAGGGTTAAAGCAAGCTTTCACTCTTTCTTGATCTCCCTTGGTGCCATATTGTTAGTGTTTACATACATTAATAGAAATAATATTTTTTATTTTTTGGTGAAGGTTTATTAACTGTTATTGATTAAGACTAAATCAACCAAAAATTAAGATAAAACAGAATTGTTAGTTAATAATAATAATGTTCATTGATGATTCCTCTAAAAATAAATATAAATTTAACTGTCATAAGTAATTTTTTTTCTGTTAACCTCTGAAAAATAAATATAAAACCCCATAAAAATGGCTTCCTTTTCTGTAGAAAGGCTAAAAAGAACAAGCAATTTTCATTAACTCTTACATTTGACAATCAACTGAAACATTATTTTTAAGCCTAAGTTCCTACAAGAATTAATATATAGGGTCTGCATTCTGAATACTGATGCAGTTTGCAACAGATATCAAAGCAACTTTCCTGGAACCTTAAAAAAAAAAAAAAAAAAAAAAAAGATGCTTACCAACTCCTTATTTACTCATCCTGCCAGAGGTATAAGAGGTCCTGTCAAAAAGATAAAAAGAAAATATAGTTAAGGATATTATTATTATTATTCCTCCTCCTCCTCTTCTTCTTTCAGAATTAGAAATGTTGAATCCTTTAGAAATATAAAATTCACACAAAATATGAGGCTAAAAAGTAAATTATATACAAGAACAGGACAATGTCAAACAAAAATCAGAAAATAAAAGGTCTGTCCATTTCAATAGATGACATGTTGAAAATCAAAGATAACTACTAGGACCTTGCCAGAGAGAAAAAAAAAGATTTGTGAAATATTAACTTAACAAATATAAACATCATTCCTGAAGTGCTTGCAAAAAAAAAAAAAAAAAAAAACCTGGAAGAATTGAAAATTCAAAGAATTCCTTCAGTCAGTCTTAGTGAAATCAGCAAGAATTCTGAAGAGAGTACTGAAGTATCAAGGAGACTTGCTGTAATTGGACTCCTCATAAAAGTTACCAAATAGCACTGACATGAAAATTCATATTATTACAAATGAATTAGTGATTAAACAAATTCAAGATCAAGACGAATGAAACTAAACTACATCAACAACTAATTATCTTTGCTGATGATGAGCTTAAGTTAACAAAAGCTGATTGGTCGAGATTGACAAGATAAATAAATAGTGGATAAATATGAAAATACCTCAAAAGATTGTGGAACAGATCCTCGCAGTAATTCCCAAAGAGAATCATGTTTTTCTTGCAATGATATTTACAACAGCAGGAGAGAGAAATAGCCAGGTAGGCAGGGACCAATGGGGTGGGGGTGCAAGAAAGAAAGGGAGGCAAATGAAAAGGAGACATTTCAGTGCTGTGAAGGACAAGTATCCATCAGAGAAGATTACATTCTATGCTTTACCTCAACAAACTGATATTAATTGTGATTTTCAAAATAGCTTCTTGTTTAGCAAATTATCTGTTTGGTTTAATACCAACTGGGAGAACATTTGAAAAAGGAATAGTTCACTGACAAATCCATATTTAGTTAGCTTAGTCTGACACAAGGTCACAAGTATAGGGCACCTAATGATTAATACATTAACTAGCTAACTACAGCTGTATGTAAAGGAGGGTTCTTACAAAGTTTAATAAAGAACAAGCTCAGCAGGTACAAATTAGAGGAGGAGGAAGAATGTGGCACAGCAACCTTTTCAAATGGGAAGAGTACATTTTAGACCTGCCTTTTACACAAGTTTAAAAAAAAAAAAAAAAACTGAGCCTGACAGCAATATGAAAATATTAAACTTTTTTTTAACCTAAAATTAGTACCAAGATTTCTATTTTAATTTCTATAATTAATATCAAATTTTATGGTGGACATTGTTTACAGCAAAGTTTAAAGAAATATCATCTTAAGATAAGTATTATTCTCAACTTTGTCTTTGAAAATTCTATAATGGAAATTCCAGAGAAATATTCAAAAGTGGTACTGAATAACACGCCCAACAAGTTTGCTGAAAACAAATGCAAAAGAGGCCTCAGATCATGTATGGGCATGTTTGTCAACACCAGTTACATCCGGTTTTTCCCTGTTAGAAGCAAGACAGCTTGGCATGTCTACACACAGACCTCTCTGCAACTGGTCAAGAACCAGGTCTTTGTATGCTAATAAAAGTAATAGGAAAACAAGCAGTCAGCAAGACACTGTCTTATGAAATTGGTTCTGTGGGCATTTTGTTCCTAAAGTTGCTGTGGTTTCCGAGGCAGTGCTACTTTTGTTACATTCTGTCTCTTTACCCTATTTGACTATTACCTATGTAGTTGCAATCAGTCAGGTGTACTCTTTGTTTACATTACAACATTTTCTTTCAAGGTTATTTTTACACTTTACATTCAATAAGTAGAAGGGATTGAAAAATAAAGATCAGCTCCTGATGTGATTTGAAAGCGCACACCTTATCCTTGAGAGTGACTAGATCGGGGCATTAATTAGACTATGAAAGATAACCAACAGACATCATTCAAATTTGGTAAGCTGACTACATTCGTCGTCATTCAAGTTGTATGTTTAAATCTAGTAGTAAATAAAATAGTCTTAAGTCTAATTTTCTTATAGGAAATGTTTTTGTCAAATAGAATTTTCTTTTTAAAAGATAAAAATAGACTAGTTATACAACACAAAATATTTATTGTATATAAAGTGTTCACCATCGAGGGCCATTTTAAAAACTTTTTTTATCAACTTGCACCAAGTCAAAATTTATCCTGTTCTTCATCAACAGGACAAAGTTGGAAATGGTCCAGGATTTTGTCTAACGAGGTAACATATCAGTTTGTTACCTATTTTTTTTTTGTCTAAAATAACAGACTAATCAAGTCTTTGAGAGAAGATAAAAATACATCTATAACAAGAAACTTTATGAAAAACAAAACCAGAATCAATAAAGTATCATGCTGTCCACTCTTGTACATGGTGCTGAATCCTGAGTAATAAATCAACACATTGTCATGAATGCTTCCATCAGCATTGTCTATGTATCATTCTCAAAGTGTATATCGGTAGGATTTTATCAATGAGATTCTAAACTACATCAAATTCACAAATGTTAAAGCCTTACTGCAATCAGCTGGCCACATGGCAAAGGCAGTATCTGTCTATGTTTCTGAGATGAGGTATTATGTACACTATTTACATTATTCGGACTATTGTCCTCATCTTGCAATATGAGCTCTGGTAAAAACATGCAATGATAACAGCAAAAAATTGCAGTATGAGCACTGTTAAAAAATGGTTGCTGAGACATTAGGTTTATAATACCCAGAAATTCGTACACAGATGTCCTCAAGGACACATGGCACAGTGTATAAAGGTGTTGGTTAGATCCAGTGACAGGATCCAAAGAGTGAGAGTTCAATACTCGGTTAAGGCAGTGGAGAACTTGCAGAGGGGAATTAACAGGAGATAACAATAAGATTAAACATGGCACGTGGAACTAGAACAGTCTACCTCAGTGAGCAAAATAAAGGGTTTCAACCACCTGAAGAAGGCCAGAACGTACAACAGCCGAAACATTGTAATAAATATGGCGACAAAGATGAGGACAATAGTCCGAAAATAGTGAACAATTTTCTCCTCAAAAACTTCTTATTTGGAGAAGTAGTCTAGCAAATGAAGGAGTTCTTTGAAAACTATCCTTATCTCTCACAGATACAAGCCCCATCAGTGGGAAACAGGCAGGTACAGAATCATCAAGATAATCTTCTTTGCTAATTCAACCATGAAAAAAAAAAAAAAAAAAAAGAACCAGGTCTATCTTTACTGGCTGCTAGACCTTCTCCTGCAGCAGTTATAAGAGCATCTTGATCAGGCCCAAAACATTTCAGAACCCACTCATATATGTGCCTGCATGCATGTGTGTGTGTGTGTGTGTATGAATGCATAAGTATTACTCCCACACACCATAACTAGTGCTGAAATTTTTGTCAATCATGCTTCAGCAACATTTTATTTTAATTTTCTTCAGTCATGTTGAAATTTTTTTTGTAATCAAAAGCCTTTTGTAAAATTAAAATTAAACAAGCAAGATTTTTGCTTATTTTTATTTTGCTAAGCTTACAATTTTATCATATTTAAAATATTGTACATTGTCCACTTTAGGAAAAAAAACCAAAAACAAAAAGGTTGTCCAAAGATGTATTTAAACATAAAAAGGAAGAAAAAAAATATCAAAGAATAAAGGAAAATCCTCAGATGCCAGTTATTCTTCCAGTTGATCAAATTTTGTGTATAAAAGATGAGTGGAATGAAAAAAAAATATTCAGAGAAAAAATATCTTAAAAATGGAGGTTTGTTTTTTTTATTGACCAATCTCATTAAAAATCACTGACATGGTCTTTCTCATCAGCTAAAGTGCTTTCTTAAAATACCTGACTAACTTGGGAACAGGGAGAGAGACATAAACAGAGATCAGGAATAAGAAAAAAAATTGTAGGTAGAAAGAAGAGGAAGTGAGAGAGTGAGTGAGAGAGATGAGCTAAAAAAAGAAAATTGATAAAAAAAAAAAAAAAAGGAAAGATGAATAAAAAAGGGGGAGATAAAAGGTAGCATGAGAGGGGGAGAAGAGGGGAGAGGTGCCAGAAATTGAGAGAGAGAGCTGGAAAAGGAAGAGGGAGGGAGAGATGTAGGAGTGGGATAGATAGATAGAAAGGTCGGAGGCAGAAAATGGATAATTTCCTTTACAAATGGAATACAAGAAAACCTTCTGGGATGGCTCCATAAAAATAGCTCTTGAAAGCAAATAACAAAGCATCTTCAGCGAAAATGCAAAAGTTAAAAATCATCCATTTGTGTTGCTGTTCAACAAATTTCATCTGGAAATACCAAGATATAAATAAATGAAATAAATTTATTGATTTTATTAATAGGGAAATTAAAAATTAAGATATCTTCATAAATTACAATTTTTGAGCCAGGAAAGAGGTTTATACAAGATCCCAAACAGCATAGACCAAAACAACTGGCAATTATTAGTCTCTGTTAGTATAAAGACAGAAATCTGTTCCTTTTTAAAAAATAAAATTAAATAAATATATAAAAAAAAAAAAAAAAAAAAAACAAGAGAAAGAAATTAACCATTACAAAAAATTTAAAAAGACAGATTTGGATACACAAAAATATTATTGTGCAGTTTTCTGGTGATTCACTAAGAGATATCAGGCACAAGGTCATAACCCTAGAGTACTCATGGAGGATTCAAGCTCACAACACAACTGAATTGGTCAGCATGGCAAGAGTGTTAATTATTGCCCTAGGGCAAAGGGGACATTTCTTCAATAGAGAGCCAAAATCAAGGCTAACCAAAACTTGAGGGGGGGGGGGGTTTAAGCCTTAAGGAAACACTGTTGGATTCATTTTTCTTTTTATATTGTCAGACTTTGCCACCCCCATCACCACATCCATCAAAAGATAATTCAATGACATTAATTCCTGACCAACAGCAATCCCTTTTTGTTTGATTTGAAATGCTCAAAGTTTACAAAAATATTTCAATATTATTCAGTTTATCATTATCCAATGAATAAAGATTAAATTTTCTTAAAAACTTGAGAACTGAAATTATTTGAAACATTTCCTCTTTTATGTACCATGTCCTTTCAGGATGTGAGTGATCACCGTTTTTCACAACTTCTTATCCTTGGTAATTATAAATAATATTTTATCTTTTTATTATAAATTCCCAGGTTCTATTCTGCTATTCATTTACACAAGACCATTATGTAGGTGTCATGGCTTCCTTCTGCCTATATAAAATATGTTTAGAACTTACAATTTGCAAAATACAAGATTTAAATTATTTGAAATGTACAAGATGTCACCCCAACCCCAGTGTATAGCAGGCAAAACAACTAAAAATTAAAAAACAAATTCACTAACAACAATTTCTTTATACTCAAGTAAATACTGGGAAAGCAGCACGTAACTTACTTGACGGGCTTTAGTAAATGCACGGTAGAACCAGGTGCGAGAGAAATAACAAAAAGAAAACTTATTAAGAGCTACAAGGGACAGGAAGATGTGGAGGACCATGATTATCTATGCCCAGAGGAGACACAGCACATAAAAAAGAAATAATTGTCTTCATAAGTCTTTTCTACCAGACATTTTACATTTTAAAAGGAAATGTGTGTGTGTGTGTGTGTATTTTATTTTAGGCTATATTGTAATAATAATATCAACTGATCCTCCATTTCAATTGAAGAGAAATTTAAAAGGTATTTGTCATCATATGGAGCCAAATACAACAGTATTTTTAATGTGGTTAAATATATATATATATATATATATAAAATCCAAGGTCAAATGATGGATCAGAAATTATCTGGTTACCTTTACGTAGGCAATGGCCCACATTCTTTCTGTGCAAACCAGTTTCCTGGGCAATGGATCTTCAAGCACCAAGTAAAACCCAGTCAAAGTGTGTGTGTGTGTGTGTGTGTAAAAACTTGGGTAACATTGGATAGCCATGTATATGTGTGAGAGAGGGTATCAGGACATTTGATATTTATTAGTCACAGCCCAAGAGAAAAGAAAAAGTAAAAAAAAGGCAATTTGCATTTTTAATGTCAATCTGAAATCCAGCAAACTGTGCAAAAGCAATAACGATATCTACAAAAGTGTATAACACACACACACACAACTTTGGCATGTTGTATTGAAAGCTTGCCTTGCTAGATCAATGACTGAGTAGGGAGTTTGATTCTCACTGGTTGCTCCATACTTTTGGCCTTGTGTCACATCTAAGCTACACTTGCTAAATTGCTATAATATATAAAATAGGTATCTTCAAAAAAGGTGATACCTAAGGTTTAAAATGCATTTCGACAATGAAAAATCTTTCTTAAAGTTTTTATTTTACTTTTAATTTCAAGTAAGTTGATTAAATTTAATATTTCCAATAAGCAAAATACTTGCTAAATTTCAATCTGAATCTAAATTGAATTGAATGATTTTTTTTTCTTTTAACTCATTCAAAACTGGCCATATTGACAAATCTTTCAACACTGCATAATTCTCTTCATTAAAAAAAACTTTCAAAAATATACTTTTCAGAAATTTTATTTGTCGAAGATTAACTGATTTAAAGTTTAATTAATCTGAATTAAAAAAAAAAATATTACTTTTAGTTAAAAATATCACAATACTTTTTAGCATACAGGTTGGTGTTTTTATGAGGAGTTAATAGATTTATCAATAGATTTATGTTCTGCATTTTTAAGTAAAAGGTACATAACTGTAAAAATTACTTGACAAATACAATGTGAACACCTTTGTTATATAATTTTTTAACTCTTCAGTATTGTTCAAAATTCAGGAAAATATTCTGATATTTTATTGAAATTTAGGTACTCTTACTTACAAAGACACCCATTGAGGAAATGTTAGAAATTTACCAATAAATTTTAAACTTATTATGGCTACCACACTTATTTTCTGATAATGTCATGTATGGATACCCATATTTACAAATTTTGTCATGTTTATAAATACACACACACACAAAAAAAAATTCTTTTTAAAATACTGGGGTTGACTAAATTGTAGTTTTCCCATTTTTATGATTAATAAATTTAGTTTTTACTTAATAACAATATCACCTAACCACTACAAATTAATACAGAAATTGTAAAGATTATAATTTTATAAATTATTTTCATTAAAATTTAAAAAAATTAAAACAATTCTTGTAAAAATTCATTAGTCATAGAAAAAAAAAAATTCTTAAGAGTGTCCGTAATATATTTTATTCATAAAAGCAATTAAAAGCTTTTCTAATTAAAAAATGTCTTAGTTTTATTCCATTTTTTATTTTATGATTCAGGGCAGATTTTCTCTAACTGGGGATCATGTTTTATACTTGTCCTTATAACTAACATAAACGCTAAGAGCTACAAAAATGAATTTCTCAAAATTTTATAACAGTAAGTAAGTGAGAGGTAACAGATATATATAAAAAAAAACTAAGATTTTCCAAAAGAAACATTTCTATAATAATTCCATTAATTTGTGAATAAGTCCTAAAAGTTTCATTAACATAGAATTATCTGATTTTTGCAAGAATTTCTAAATCAATGTGTATTTCACCACAAAATGACACTCAAATTTCCTATATTAATTTATGCTGCCCCACTGATGAAAGGAAAACAAAATTTTTAAGGTTCTACAAAGGATTAAAAAATATAATTTAATCATCAAAAAATCCTCTGGTCTTTTTTCTTAATATTAACAAAGATTTTGATAATAAAACTTTGTTTTTATTAAATTTGGGGCAATTTTTTCATCAAGGTATGTTCATTTTTAGTGAATTTTTGAAGCATATTCAGTAATAATAATAAAAAAAACAATATTAGTAATAATAATAATAATAATATCAATATTAATGAAAAAAACTTTTTCTTTCTTTCTTCATTGTATAAGGATAGAAATTACTTTCTGTACTTCATTCTGATATTTGACTAAAGCTAGTCTGGTTCAAGGTCAATTTGAAATAAATAAAAGAAAGAAAGATTGTATTGTACCATCTAAATAAGTGTGAGTCTGCTTTAAATTCTGCATTTGAAGTCATTGTTTAAAATAAAAATAAAACAAACACTGGCATTGGTGGGAAATTTGAAACTCATCTGCAAATATGATTTAGCTTGGGCACCCACTGAGAATCTAACTACCTTATGAAGACGCTCTTGCTAATCCTAGCACTACTGCAGGCACCCTTCTCTACTTGTCATAGCTTCCTTTGCTCTTTTTTTCCTGTTTCCTGAGTAGAAGACCAGACCTTTAAAAGGTCAGTAGACTTTAAAGCAACTTAAAATTCTACCGTTCAACCTCGTTTAGAGGCGGTTGGACCTGAAATTTTTGAACTGACAATGTTCGTTGTAGCTGTTTGTCACCTAAGTCTGGAGAAGGAAGTTTTGTCTGAGTGATATTTGGGGGAATGGTAAGGATGCTCCGATTACAGATGAATAATGGGTGGTGGGGATCTCAGGTGTGCAGCCAGCCATCTGGCTAACCAAGGCTGAGAGAAAGAAATGCTGGATTTAAAAATAATTGCAAAGTCAGGGAGAAGCGTTCCTTAGAAAAAAAAAAAAATGTAAATGCTAGTTTCAAGTTACTTTGTTGTGTAATCATTTCAGAAGATTTTTTTTTTTTTTTTTGAGTAAGTGGGGGAGGTTCTGTCTTTAACTGCTGCTGCAAAAATCCTTAGCAGTAGCTAACAAGACATTGAACTCAGAGTTAGCTCAGTGGTTAGGATAGCGGCTATAAGAAAAAAAGTAAAAACTTTTCTCTTTATTGATATAGATGCCAGATGTTCTTTATATACTGGACATATCCAGAATTAGATAATTTTGTCCCCCTGTTCCATACTGACACCCCAAATGTCCTGTAAGTTCATTTTCAAATTTTGTAATAAAATATATTTTTACTTACTACCTTCTTATGGTTCAGGTTTGTAACTTTAAAGTAATTCTATTTTCTGTTCTCAGATTATATTGATGAAAATAACCTTTATTTTCCTTTACATTTTTATGCTGTCTATTGAATATGAATTTTGCAATGATTTCATTTTCTCAGAATTTCTTTTAGTTATCTATAATTGCTTGTATTAAATAATATTCAAATGCTTCCACAGTAAATGATTTTTTCTATATTGTCTCTATTTGTCTATTAAATAAAAATTT